TGCTGCTGCTGCTGCTGCTGCTGCTGCTGCTGCTGCTGCTGCTGCTGCTGCTGCTGCTGCTGCTGCTGTATCTGGCGGAAGGAGACAGCTGCTGCTAGGAGGAAGCAGCTGCTTCTGAAAGAATGCAGCAGCAGCAGCAGCTGCTGCTGCTGCTGCTGCTGCGAGGCGGCCCGGTTTGCTGCTGCTGCAGCGAAGAGAGCTGCTGCTGCTGCTGCTGCTCTGGAACGGTTGCCGCCAGTTGCTGCTGCTGCTGCAGTTGCTGCTGCTGCAGCCGCTGCAGCTGTGGAAGGCGCCTTTGGCCGCTGCTGCTGCCGCTGCTGCTGCCGCTGCTGCTGCTGCTGCAGCAGCTGCTGCAGCTGCTGCAGGCCGCACTCCGCGCGGCTCCAGCCCCCACTCCCACTCCCACTCCCGCTGCTGCTGCTGCTGCTGCTGCTGCTGCTGCTGCTGCTGCTGCTAGGGTTTGTCGCTGGAAGCTTCTGAAATGTCCCTGCGGAGTGCATCTGCGCCGCCAACTGCAGCACGAAGGGAAAAGGCAGCAGCAAAGAAGGAGTAAGCAGCAACAGCAGCAGCAAGAGCAACAGCAGCTAAGCTGAAGCCTCCCTTGTTCAGCAGCAAGAACTGTTTGAAGTCCTCAAATGCTGCTGCTTCGAGCTGCAGCAAAAAGGCAGTTTGCTGCAGCGGCCCCACACGCAGGTAGCGGATTGCTGCAGCACGGCCAGCAGCAAACTGGCGGCCCACAGCCAGCAGGCTGGCGAGGGCCAGCAGCAGCAGCAGCAAATAAAAAGCTGCCAGCAGCAGCGAAGACAGCCTTGCTGCGAGCCCGCCGCAGTGCTGCAGCGCAGCAAGAGCAGCAGCAGCAGCAGCAGCCAGCAGGAAGCCCGCGCCCAGCCCCACGTTCAAGGCGCAGCGCGAAGGCAGCAGCAGCACTGCTGCTGCTGCTATGCAGCAGCACAGCAGCGGGAGGTGCAGCAAGACATCCACCATAGTGCCTTTTTCGTCAATTGCTGCTGCTTTGCTGAGGGGCGCAATTGCTGCCAGAGCAGCAGCAGCAAACAGCAGCACGAGGGAGGCGTGGGCGTCGAGGAACTGCAGCGAGAAGTCCGCTGCTGCTGCTGCTGCTGCTGCTGCTGCTGCTCCCCCAGGCCCCCGCAGCAACTCCACCTGGCTGCTGCGAAATGCCTCCAGCTGCTGCAGCATGTAACCCCCAAAAGCTGCTGCCAGCAAACTCAGCAGCTGACACAGCAGCAGCAGCGGGCAGGCCAGACACAGCAGCTTCGCCCAGAAGAAGTAGCCGCAGAGGGTCACTGCAGCGCAGCAGACACAGGCTGCGGTGTACGTACACCCCAGCCCCAAGAAGGCCCCCCGAGACACAAACATCACTTCTCCGTATTCGCCCGGCTGCAGCGCTGCTGCTGGCTGGTCTTTGAGCTGCGTGGCTTCGGCCAGCAGCAGCAGCGCCATTGCTGCTGCGGCCTGCAGCGCAGCGGCCAGCGCCCACGCCGCGATCGCCGGGTTCTCCTTGCCCCCCACTTGCCGGCAAAAACCGCCTCCCCGCCCCATTTTCCAACGCCTTTATTTCCCTTTTGCAAAATGACGCGGAATTGTCCAAAAAAATCCAAAAAACCACCAAGGGAAACCCCCGAACGAGCCCCGGTCCACCAGCAGCAGCACCGCAGCAGCAGCAGCAGCAGCAGCAGCAGCAGCAGCAGCGAACGCGGCGAACTAGCTAAGACACAAACACACTCGCAAACCACTTGCACAAATTATTTGCAATTTTAAAATTCAAATCTTCTACTGAAAACTGCTGCTGCTGCTGCTGCTGCTGCTGCAGCAGCAGCAGCGGCGGCGGCGGCGGCTCAACCGCAGCAGCAGCAGCAGCAGCAGCAGCAGCAGCTCGCGGACCATCAACACACCGCTGGTTGGCCTGCTTTCGGACCCTCTTTCTGCCACTTTTCTCTTTTCCACTTCCAAAACCTTTTTCCACGCCACTTTCCACCTTTCCTCGCAACTTCCCAAACCCTAAACCCTAAACCCTAAACCCTAAACCCTCGGCCCGCCCGCCCCGCGCCTACACCCAGGTGTACGTACACCCCAACAACCGCCGCGTACACCCCAGCTGCACGTACACCCCAAACCCTCCTGCAGCAAACCCTCAACTGCTGCTGCTGCTGCTGCTGCTGCTGCAGCAGCAGCAGCAGCTTTCCATTCGAAAATGCTGCTTCGCAAAAACCAGCAGCAGCCCAAACCCTAAACCCTAAACCCTAGGCCTGCTGCCTAGACAGCCCAAACCCCAGCCCTTCACTCTTTACCCAAACGCCAACTCCGCAACTCCAAACCCTAAACCCTCACCAACAAACCCTAAAACCCGATTTCTAAACCCTAAACCCCAAACCCTAAACCCTAAACCCCAAACCCTAAACCCTAAACCCTAGCCGCTAGCTGGAAGAGGCTTTCGCGAAGTTCTTGACGCCAAATGCCTCTTTAAAACTTCTCAACTTATTTTAATTTAATTTAATTTAATTTAATTTAATTTTATTTTATTTAAAATAATTTAATTTAATTTAATTTAATTTAATTTCGTTTTATTTTTGTTTTGCTGACTCTCTTCGATGTGTCTCACCACTCGAGACAAACCCTTTCTAAACCCTAAACCCTAAACCCTAAACCCTAAACCCTAGACGGTGAATCTAGAGCTCAAAGGCGGAACTCTTTGATTTTTCTTTCCAGCGTAGAAGCAGCAGCCTAAACCCTAGGCACTAAACCCTAATTTCTAAACCCTAAACCCTAAACCCTAAACCCTAAAACCTGAAGCCTAAGTCTTAAGCCCTCAGCTTCGGTGCTTGAACTTCGAGAGAGCCACAAAGCACACCCTCTACTTAGGGTTTAGGGTCTAGGGTTTAGGGTTTAGGGTTTAGGGTTTAGGGTTTAGGGTTTTGAGTTTAAGGTTTAGGGTTTATGCTTTAGGAATTAGGGAGCGTTTGAGTCATCCGCTTGATGGCTTAATTTAGGCTTTCGGAATTATAGTCGAGGGTTTAGGGTTTAGGGTTTAGGGTTTAGGATTTAGGGTGTAGGGTTTAGGGTTTAGGGTTTAGGGTTTAGGGTCTGTGACTGGCTGGGAACGGGCATGTGTGCCTTGTTTTTTTTGTTTTAATATTTATAAAAGAATGGAATTAAAAACGAAGAAGTTCGCAAACCCTAAACCCTAAACCCTAAACCCTAAACCCTAAACCCTTGCTGCTGCACACAGCCCCAGGAACCGCTGCCGCCTCGGCGGCAGCTGACGCCGCCGCCGCTGCTGCTGCTGCTGCTGCTGCTGCTGCTGCTGCTGCTGCTGCTGCTGCTGCTGCTGCTGCTGTCTAGCAGCAGAAGTTTGTTGTTGAATTGAAAAGAAAAAAGAAATTAAAAAAGAATTCCATTTATTGGATTTGAGTTTTGCTGCTGCTGCTGCAGCGGCGCTGCAGTGGTGCTGCAGCTTCTAGGGTTTGGGTTGGGGTTTGCAGCTGCAGCAGCAGCAGCAGCAGCAGCAGCAGCAGCAGCAGCAGCAAATTGAATTTAATTAATTAAATTCAATTTATTTCTTTTTATTTTCTAAACCCTCAAACCCAACATGGCGGGACTTGGCTCCGGCTACGACATTTCCGTGTCTACCTTTTCCCCCGACGGGAGGGTTTTCCAGGTGGGGCTAGGGTTTAGGGTTTAGGGTTTAGGGTTTAGGGTTTAGGGTTTAGGGTTTAGGGTTTGCGGGGTCTAGGGTTTGGCTCGCGCGGCGCCTGCGCACCTCGCAGCTGCGGCGTGCAGCAGCTCGCAGACACGCGGTTAGGGTTTAGGGTTTAGGGTTTAGGGTTTAGGGTTTAGGGTTTAGGGTTTGGAGGGCTTAGGGTTTAGGGTTCGGGGGTTTGGGGTGTGGATGGTTTAGGGTTTGGGAGGCTCGCAGCCAGCCAGATAGGAAGTGCAGCTAGCCGACTCATCTCGCCTTAGGGTTTAGGGTTTAGGGTTTAGGGTTTAGTGTGTAGGGTTTAGGGTTTAGGGTTTAGGGTTTGGGCGGTTTAGACTTTAGACTGCTGCGCGCTAGAGTCAACTTAGTGTGCTGAGACGCCCGGCGTTGCAGCTCGAGGGTTTAGGGTTTAGGGTTTAGGGTTTAGGGTTTAGGGTTTAGGGTTTAGGGTTTTTTGGGTTGCGGGTCGAATATGTCGCGTGGCGGCGTGGTTTTTGGGCAGGCAGGCTCTAGGGTTTGCGGCCCAGAGTTTGGGGTTTAGGGTTTAGGGTTTAGGGTTTAGGGTTTAGGGTTTAGGTGCACCTGCAGGTGGAATATGCCTCCAAAGCCGTCGACGCGGCCCCTTTGTGTCTTGCTGCTGCATGCAAAGACGGAGTCGTTTTTGCTGCTGAAGTGCCGCGCGTTTCGCCGCTGTTGACGAAAGGGGCCAACAAAGTTATTTTCCAAGTTAATGAAGAAATTGGTATTTATTTTTATTTATTTATTTATTTATTTATTTATTTATTTATTTATTTATTTATTTATTTATTTATTATTTATTTATTTATTTGTTTGTTTGTTTGTTTGTTTATTTTGCTTTTTTGCTTTTTTGAAATTCCAGTTTGCGCTTCGCGCGACTTGCGCAGCAGCTGTCTGTACACCGCAAGTGCATTCAACTTTTTCTTTTTTATTTTTTTATTTTTATTTTTTATTTTTAATTTTTATTTTATTTTTGTTTTAGGGTTTGTTTTGTGTTGTTCTTTTTTCTTTTCTTATTTGGCGTTGTTGGTTTGTTTTCTTTCTTCTTTTTGAGATTGTTTTTTGCTTCTTCTTTTTTTCTTTTATTTGATTTCTTTTATTTCTTTTTTTCTTTTCGCAATATTTTAATTTCATTTCTTTTTTAATTTGCATTAATCCAATTTTTTCTTTTTTAATTTGCCACTTTCTCCTTCTTCCCTCTTTTTTCTTTTTTTGATTTTTGATTTTTCTTTTTCTCTTTTTTAATTCATTTCGTCTTTTCTTTCTT